CCTCGGGGTAAGCCGTGAGCCCCACTCCAGCCCCGTCCCGCCCCGCAAAAGCCCCCCTCTCGACACAACCTTGCTGCTGTCCGACCGCGAAGGGATTTACTTCGAGGGGTAAATAAAACCCCCGTGTACTGCGGCGCCCCCGGCCCCCTCCGTATTTGCTTAAAATACATCTTGTTTGGCCTGAACCGAAGAATATATTGACATTTCGTGTATGTTGCCCTCCGGGCTACTTCCTAACTTTTGAAATCTGAAGGGCCGTGAGGAGCCTCTCCCTTTTTCTCGAAACAGGACAATCGTGACCTTTTCCATCGCCTTCCCCTCTTTTTATCTTTTACGTCTTTGTTTAATTAATGCTAATGGACCAATCGAATTCTTTACCTTGTACCTTTTTTTGTGCATAATTGCCCGTTTTTTAGAAGTATGAGGTTAACTCGCTTCCTTAGTTACACAGCATGACTGAACCAGAACCAGGCACCCGGTCGTGTGAATTTATGACTTTACTGTGGCCGAATGAGATAACCTAGTGGACACATCCTGTCATCTGTCACGGGAAGCCCCCATCCCGCGAAGTGGGTTTAAACTAGGCCAGCTCGGCGTGGGGCTCAGCCCGGGCCGCCAGCTCGGCTCGGCCAGCTCGGCCTCGCGGGGAAGTTGTCGCCCGCGCGACAGGGCACTCCGCTGTGGCCGCCGCCGGGAGCACTTCCGCGGCAGACTCCTGGGAACAGAGAGAGAGAGAGAGGGGGGGGGAGGGGGTGTCCTGAAGACTGCTCGGCAGCACCACCGCCGCCCAACATCCTCCATAAAGACTAGAAGTCTAGATCGGTCCTGGTCCTGGTAGTGCCGCACGGTAAAAATGATATCTTGTAATCCAAGACTATTCCTTGAAATTCGAGTAAAAATTACTTGGATTTCAAGCAATCTTCTTGAATTACCAGACATAATTTTTGCCGTGCGCACGCACGGCGCTGCCTGGGGTACAAATCTTTAGGGAAGCAGGGCACTCAAAATTCAACCCCCTCCACCACCCAAATACCCCCAACCCCTGCCCTCCTCATGACGAGACACGTGCACTTTGACTTTGACTTTGACGCTAAAGCTATGCTATACATTCAGGGAATGCTTAAACAAGGTATGCGTTGTGCATTAGCGGGGACTAGCAGATGACTCAGTCAATTGGCTTCTCGCCAACCGCGCCCGCACACCGCACACATGTATGTATCGAGATTGGTTCTCTGTCGATGTGTTTGTGCGTAGTGCCGCGCGTGGCTTTGATATCCCCC